TAGGCCTCGTGGGCCTTAAGGTCGCTGTTGCCATAGAGCAGTTACACATACAATGTCGAGGATGGGGAGTGGCTGTGTTCTAATACAACTTCATTTGTGGACACGGACATAGGAATCGCATATCGTTTTCAAATGTCACAAAATGTTATTCTTCTTTTGATTGTTTCCCAACCACTTAAAAATATAGACATAATTCTTAACAGATGGGCCATACAAACACAGGCAGCAGGCCAGAGTTAGGCTGCTGGCCTTTGTCAACCCCTGTGCCTCGATTCAGTTACGAATGCCTGCTGTATGTTATCACCGTGGGTCTTTATTACAAACTGGGAAAGAAGGTGGGAAAAGTTGAATCTGCCACGTGCTAAGGATTAAAAGATTTTTTTAAAGTTTCATTTTGCAATAACTCAGATTTGGAAAAAAAGTTAAAAAAAAACGGTACACGGGGCACCTTGGCAGCTCAGTCAGTTAAGCATCTGACTCTTGATTTGGGCTCAGGTCATGATTTCATGATTTGTGAGTTCGAGTTCCGTGTTGGGCTCTGTGCGGAGCCTGCGTGGGATTCTCTCTCTCTCTCTCTCTCTCTCTCTCTCTGCTCCTCCCCAACTCATGCTCTCTAAATTAATTAGTTAGTTAATTAATTAACAAACTTAAAAAAAGAAAAAGAAGAGGGGCACCTGGGTGGCTCAGACGGTTAAGCATCTGACCTCTGCTGAGGTCATGACCTCACAGCTTGTGAGTTCAAGCCCTGTGTCGGGCTCTGTGCTGACGGCTCAGAGCCTGGAGCCTGCTTCGCATTCTGTGTCTCCCTCTCTCTCTCTGCCCCTCCCGGCTTGTGTTCTCTCTCTTCCAAAAATAAATAAACTTTAAAAAGAAAGAAAAACAAAAAACAGTACAAAGAATTCTTGGTTGATTCCTAAAATGTCAACATTTTACCATATTTATTGTTCTGCGTGTGTGTATATACACATTTTTTTTCCTGAACTGTTTAAGACTTGCACAGGTGATGATGCCCTTTTATTACCTAAAACCAAAGACATTCTTTTATATAGCCACGGTGCGACTATCAAAATCAATAAATTAATACAAAACTATTGTTTAATCTTTAGACTTTGTACTATCAAACTCAGGAAATTAACCTACAGGCCTAATTCTGACATCATCAGCTGTCCTACTAATATTCTGTATGTGCTAATGTCTTCTATCCATCACCTCCGCTAACTTCCCCAACTACCCAGTGAGTTTGATATTATTATCCCTGTGTTACCAGTGAAGGAGCTGAAGCTCAGAGAAGTTAAGTAACTTGCCCACAGTCACCCAGAAGGCACAGCTGGGATTTTCACTCAAGTGTACCAACTTCCAAAGCCCTTGGTGTTCGGTATTGGACCAGGATCGCAGAGTTTGGAAAGGACTTCCCAGTACAAGGAGAAGGAGCTGGTGTTCCAGGGATGAGAAGGATCCGAGCAGGGAAAGCCATGACTGGTGCTCTGTTTCTCAAGGAAATGTCCGGTGGGGAAAGACAAAGGAGGCAACAAACGGAATTTTAGTTATTGTTACATAATAAGAAAAGGTTTTTTTGAAACACTTTCTAAAAGTAAAATATAACTTTTTAACTTATTTTAAAAACAGATACAGAACCTGACACAAAACAAATAAGTTAATGAATTCTTTAGTGGAGAAAACCCTTGTAACCACCACCCTCCAGTTCAAGAAACAAAACCCTCCCAAACCCCAAAAGCCACTGCATGGGTGGGGTCCCAATCTCAGCTCCCCATCCCCATAAGTAACCACTATTCTTGACTTGTAGAGTTATTTCTCCCAGCGTTTAAAAACCAAATTAAGGGGCGCCTGAGTGGCGCAGTCGGTTAAGCGTCCGACTTCAGCCAGGTCACGATCTCGCGGTCCGTGAGTTCGAGCCCCGCGTCAGGCTCTGGGCTGATGGCTCGGAGCCTGGAGCCTGTTTCCGATTCTGTGTCTCCCTCTCTCTCTGCCCCTCCCCTGTTCATGCTCTGTCTCTCTCTGTCCCAAAAATAAATAAAAACGTTGAAAAAAATTAAAAAATAAAAAAATAAAAAAATAAAAACCAAATTAATGCCTGGGGGTTCCCCGGGGACTCAGTCGGTTAAGCGTCCAACTTCTGATTTCGGCTCAGGTCGTGATCTCACGGTTCGTGAGAGCGTCGGTCTCTGTGCTGACAGTGCAGAGCCTACTTGGGATTCTCTCTCTCCCTCTCTCTCTGTCCCTTCTCTGCTCGCATGTGTGTGCACTCTCTCTCTCTCTCTCCCTCAAAAACAAACATTTTTAAAAAACTAAATTCAGATTTTTAAATGATCCACAAGTTGTACAAAATAATGCTAAAGAAAAAATTATTCTGATACTTGTTAAAAGGGTAAGGAAGACTTCCTTCAAGATGTTGCAGTAAGGGAGAGAGAGAAGTTTGAAGTCAAAGTAGAGCAAAGACAGCTGGGGATTTATAGCTGACCGGCAGAGTGAGGGGGCTGGGCGTGGAAAATTACAAGAGGGGATATCAAGACATTCTTGCTAAGGGCAAGTCGAGGACTTAGAAGTCAAAGGTAGGAGATGAGGAGCTTGATCGTGTGTCAAGAGTGGGGGGATTTTTCCTAAACTGACTTGGTCAGATTCTTTGCTTAACCAGGCAATGCAGGCCAGGCAAAGACAGGAGGAGCCTAACTAAAGTCTAGTCCGGGAGAGAAACAGAATCTATTAACAGAAAGAGCTTAATTTAACCTTACCTTTTATTTTCCAAAATAAGGAGTTAGCAAAATAAAATATTTAAAACAAATGAATTTTGTGCTATGTCAACTATAACTAATAAAGCTGGAAATTTTAAAAATATGTGTGTATGTATTTAAAAGCAATATTTGCTTATTTATTTATTTTTCGAGAGAGAGAGCATGAGTGGTGGAGGCACAGAAAGAGAGGGAGAGAGATTCCAAGCAGGCTCCACTCTGTCAGAGCAGAGCCCAACGTGGGGCTCAAACCCATGAACCTTGAGATCCGGACCTGAGCTGAACTCCAGAGTCGGACACTCATCCAACTGAGCCACCCAGGTGCCCCCAAAGCAACATATATTTAAAAGCAAAATAGAACTACCTTATGATCCAGCAATTGCAATACCCTATGGGGTATTTCCCCAAGAACACAAGAACATTAATTCAAAGGGTTACTTGCACCCCTATGTTTATGGCAGCATTGTTTATAATAGCCAAGATATGGATATAGCTCAGGTGTCCACTGATTGTTGAATTGATAAAGAAGATGTGGTTGGGGCCTCTGGGTGGCTCAGTTGGCTAAGATTTCAGCTCAGGTCATGATCTCACGGTTCATGGGTTTGAGCCCCACATTGGGCTCTGCACTGGCAGTGTGGAGCCTGCTTGGGATTCTCTCTCTCTCTCTCTCTCTCTCTCTCTCTCTCTCTCTGTCTCTCCCCTGATATATCTCTCAAAATAAATAAATAAATAAATAAATAAATAAATAAATGTAAAACAATTTTAAAATCTCTTTTAAAAAAAAAACATGTGGCATATATATACAATGGAATATTATTCAGCCACAAAGAGAAATGAAATCTCGCCATTTGCAATGACATGGATGGAGCTAGAGAATATAATGCTAACTAAGCAAAATCAGTCAGAGAAAGACAAATACCATATGATTTCACTCATATGTGGAATTTAAGAAGCAAAACAGACAAGCAAAGGGGAAAAAATAAGAGAGAGAGAAAGCGTGCTCTTAATTCTAGAGAACTAGTGTGGTTACCAGAGGGGAGGTGAACTAGGTGACGGCCAGTAAGGAGTGCACTTGTCTTAATGAGCATGGGGTGAGGTCTGGGAGTGCTGAATTACTAAACTCTACACCTGAAAACTAATATAACATTCCGTTAACTGGAATTAAGATTAAAACGCTAAATAAACAAACAAATACGCTGAGAAACAATAAAAGTGATTTCCCTCTGCAACTTAGTTTCCATTAAAGCTAAGACTTTCCAAGTGACAGTGAAGAGGACGTGGGATTTTCCGAGCTCAGGGGGAACGGGCCAGGACAGGATTTTAACTGAGGCTACAGGGACTGTTCTCCCCCAAGAGTCAAAGATACAGTATCATTTCACATCCAACTGTCAGATTCCCTGCGGGGCAAGGCTGTTGAGGGACTCAAGTGCCAAACTGAAAGGCGGGGGTGCTGCTGCTTCTCCTATCTCTGAAAACCCAACCGTGCAGAAGTAGAAATGCCGCAAACCCGGGTGCTTTGGAGGGTTGGCATTTGGAATTGATTTTGTCGCAGTTGAACCATAATCTCTAAAACCAGCAGCGACCTAGCACGGTGGTTCTCAAATTTCTGCATACGCTGGAGTAACGTGGAACACTTGCAAAAATGCAGATTTCTGGACCCCACTCCTAGAGTTTCTGACGGAGAGCTTCTGGGACGATGGCCTGGAATTTGCATTTATGACAAGTACCAGGTGGGTGCAGGCACCACCCGTCGCGAACCGCCGTCCCCTTAGGTGTGTCGGCTCTCAGCTTCCCCTTCGGTCCTCTCCAGGCAGCCAGGGAGCAAGGAGACCCTGGTTGAAGTCCAACCCCGGGACGCCTTATCAAGCTGCTGACAGTCGGGCCTCCCGATTGCCCGTCCAAAGGGACCCTCCCACCCGCAGCCACTAGCAAAATCCAGATAGAGCCACCCTGGGGTCACGCGCCCGCCCGCGCCCCTGGGCTCCTCCGCGCCCCTCCCTGCAGCGGGCCACGGCTCCATGGTCGCGGGGCGGAGCCGGCGCGGGGCTGGATGCAGAGCCGACGAGGGGCGGAGCAGGGGCGGAGCGAGGGCGGGGCGGGGGCGGAGCCGGCGCGCGGCTGGCTGCAGGGCAGGAGAGGGGCGGGGCGTGGGCGGGGCCGGCACGGGACGGGCCGCAGGGCCGACGAGGGGCGGCGCCAGGCCGCGGGTCCTCGGCCGAGGGACGCGGGGCGGCTGGCCTGCGCGCTGACTGCGGAGCGGAGAGGCCGGAGGATGGACTTGCCCTGGGCTGCTCGCCTTCTCTCTCTGCTGCTGGTACCGCTGCTGCTGGGCCCTGCGCGCGGCCTGCGCGTAAGTCCGCAGGAGAGGGGGCAGGCTGGCGGGGTCCGGGCTGCGGCGGCGGCCAGCGGGGGTCCTGAGGGCCGTGGGCCCGGGGCTCCCGAGTGCGCCCCGGAAGGCAGGCAGGCAGGCAGGCCGGCAGGCAGCCGACCGGGCGCAGGCAGTGGGCCGGCCCTCCCGTCGGGGGCGGGCCGGGCGGGGCGCGCGTCCTTCCCGGTAGCTCTGCGGCTTGCGTGCTCTGCCCGCGTTTCCCCTTTCGCTTGGACCCACTTCCCCGTCGGTGCAAGGACGGGGCGAGACGAGGTGCGCCCAGACCCTTGCAGCCTTGCAGGTTTCCGGAGCGCGCAGTATTGGAGGCGCCGTGGGCTCTGGCGTGAGGCGCCCTCCCTTGCCCGTTTCGGGAGCTGCTGAGCGCTCCGGAAGGAGAAAAATGGGGTCAGGAGAGGCCCGCGCGATGGAAGCGTTGGATTGATTTCCTTCGAAGTGTTGTCTTTTCAAACATCTCGTCCCCTTCTCGGCACTCCCTGCTGCCTGCTTTTGGCCTGGGTTTCCCGGGTCTTCAGGGTCTGGCGGTGCAGGCCAAGGGTGGGCCAGAGGTAGGCTGCAGGTGGTGGCCCGCGTTGTTGGAGGGGGTCTGGCGGAGCAAGTAGGTGAGTTGGTGGGGCGGGCGAGATTGGCGGGGGAGATGGACAGCCCCAGTTCACTTGTCAGAGCTAAAGCGGGGGCCTAGGGGCCTCCAGACCGCCGCCTGGGGAGGCCAGCATCACAGCCGCGGAAAGGTTGGCGGGTGGGGGGCGGGCAGGCAATCGAAATGGGCACCTGTCTCCCTGCACAGTCGGCGAACCGGCTGTGGTTCCTCCGAAAAGTTTGGGTGGGCCGAGGCTGGGGCGTGTTTTCAGTAGAAGGTGGTGGAATTTGGGCCCATTGACTTGTAAATTGCATCGCTGGCTAAAAGGCTTTCAGTAACTTGCCTAGGCAGAGAGAGGTCATACTTTAAAACCAAGGGTGAAAATTTTAAGTAGTTGAAAAATACCTGCTGAAAACAGTGGAACATGGGGTTCTTGGGGAAAGATCACTAAAATCGAGTTCTTGCTAACTTCCATCTCTGGTCTGTGGTTTCCACGCTCCGTTTTTGTTTTTGTTTTTGTTTTTGTTTTTGTTGTCTTAAAGGCCTGAAGGAGCCCTTGAGTGAGAGCTACGCAGCTTTGAGAACCACTGGCCAGGGGGCACTGGGGAGCAGTTTCCCGGGAACATTGGCAGAGAGAGAGGAGGAGGGTAGATTTAACCCGTACCTGGGAGGGTTGGGGGAAGGGAGAGATGGGCATTTATGGATAAGCTTGTGGACAGGGCAGCCCCCTGGGCTAACTTTACCTTAGAAATTAAAACAGAAAATTTAAAACTATTTATTAACTTATTTCAGAAATAATCGTTATAGGTTCACAAACTATATTTATATATATAACTATATATTAACTGTATATATATACACACACATATATTTTGAAAAATAACAATATTTCTCCCCAGAGCTTAGGAGGAAGAGTGGCACTGTTTTACATTTTTGCAAATCTCTTTCACGTCTGTCAAGTCCTTGCCAGGTCACATGTCACAGAGCCTCACGAGGGGTCCACTATGCACTCGTGAGAGAATGAGAATGGAAAAGGCGGGTACAGCCTAGGGTTATCGTGGAAATCGTTTTGACCACATGATCCTCCCGCGAGGCTCGCCCCAGACCACACTTTGCAAACTGCAAATTTAGGGTAATGTTTTTCTTATTATAAAAACAAAAAAGTTCCTGTGCTTTGTAGAAACACTTTTACATATTTTCAGAACACTGTAAGAAAATGAGAACTGCCTATCACGTTACAATCCGCTGTGTCTGTATTTTAATAATCAAGTGTAGCAACCGCCAGATTTGAGTGGCTTGGATTCCAGGCGGGTTGGGTAGATGTGAGTGGCCTTCAGGTTTTGAATGGGGACAAGGAAGCTCTAATATCCCACAAAGCTGACGCGGGTTCCTGGTTGCAGGCGGAGCTGACCTGGAAACCTCTCCTTGGCCACTGTCCTTTCTAAGGAGCTCACCTACCAGAGCCCGCCCGCCCAGAACTGGCAGGGGACCCTCTTAGGAGCAGAGAAAAATGGCGATCTTCAGGCAGCTGTCCCTGCGTGCAAAGGCTGCCCTGGCCGCCGGCACTGTCTTCGTGTCCATGATTGTGTCCCGCTCCTGTCTGGCGGGGAGCCTTGAGCTCCGGGCCTGGCGTTGGCTGTTCCGCCTGCAGCTCGCCCTGTTTGCCAACTCGCTCATGCTCATTGGCTCCCTCTACATCTGGCGGAGCACAGTCAGCAACCTCAGCCACTGCCCGGGCGCCGAGTCCGCCTGTTTCCAGCTCTGGAAGATGGCGGTTGTGGCGTTTCTGGCCCTGGCCCATTCCAGCTTCTTCACCATGCTCTTTTTAGTGGCCGAGGAGCCCTATCTCTTCTCCTTGGCAGCCTACTCCTGCCTCGGGGCGTACATCATCATGGTCTTCTTCCTCTGCACCCTCAGTGGCATGGAGCAGGCCTATCAGCTCGTGGCCTGGCGCAGCGGCAGGGTCGTGGGCGGCCTCGACAAGACAAGGAAGGTGGCGGTCAGGCCGGCCCTGGCGGTGGCAGTGACCGCTGTGCTCAGTGTGGCTGGGCTTCTGAACGCCGCCCAGCCCCCGGCCGTGAAGACCGTGCAGGTGCCCGTCCGTCAGCTGCCTCCCTCGATGGACGGCCTCAAGATCGCGCTCCTCTCCGACATCCACTTGGGCCCCACCGTGGGCAGGACCAAGATGGAGATGTTCGTGAGGATGGTGAACGTGCTGCAGCCAGACGTCACAGTGATCGTGGGGGACCTCTGTGACGCGGAAGCCTCCACCCTGCGGACGGCGGTCGCTCCTCTGGACCAGCTTCGCTCGCGCCTCGGCGCCTACTTCGTCACGGGGAATCACGAGTACTACACGTCGGACGTCAGCAACTGGTTCGCGCTGCTGGAATCCCTGAACGTCAGGCCCCTTCACAACGAGAACGTGAGGATTTCCGCCACGGGGGCCCAACCCGGGGGCGCTGAGGACGACGACTGGATCTGCTTGGCTGGGGTGGATGACATCGAGGCGGACATCCTGCACTACTACGGCCACGGCATGGACCTGGTCAAGGCCCTGGGGGGCTGCCGCCCGGACCGCCCCACCATCTTGCTGGCTCACCAGCCCCTGGCTGCCAAGAGAGCCCTGCAGGCTCGGCCGGATATTAGCCTCATTCTTTCTGGGCACACGCATGCCGGGCAGATCTTCCCCTTGAACGTGGCAGCCTATCTCCTCAACCCCTTCTTCGCCGGCCTCTACCAGGTGGCCCAGACCACGTTTGTGTACGTCAGCCCGGGCACCGCCTACTATGGGATCCCCATGAGACTGGGCACCAGGGCAGAGATTACCGAGCTCATCCTGCGGCGGGCTCCTTGAACCTGGCCCTGCCCTGTGCGCCCCTTCAGAGTCCTCGCCCTTCACCCTCCATCCCTCTTCAGAGCGGGTGGCCTGCTTTACCCCCTGCGGCCTCCGCTGCCTAGCCCTGCCCACGCACGCTCGGCCACAAGCCTGGCTTGAGCAGTAACTTGCGCTGGGGCCGCCATGGCGAGCACGGGCTGGTTTCCTCCGCAGATGGCCAGTTGCTTATTTATGTGTATCTGCGAGGCCACTGACGTCCCATATGTCAGAACAAGCGTCCCTTTTCCAGGTGATGTGGAGTGAGCCCTCCTTGTCCGCAGAGCTCACAGGGCCGCACCGGAATGGGGTTGCCTGAAAGGGACACCTCTGAAAGCAGAACAGAGAGGAACACTGGCGGTCTGAAACCCTCTTTAGGACTTGGGCAGTTTCCAGCATCAGTGGAAGGAGCTTCTGGGGAAGGGGCGGGGTGGCCAGGTAAGCCAGAACAGGCAAGAGGGAGGCCCCTCTGGCCACTGGAGAAGAATGGTTTCTTTTCCCCACTGGCTCTGGCAGAGTCACCTTTACTGAGGGCATCGGCCAAACCCGCGGGGACACAGGGCTCGTGCTGTCCCGGGCCTCGAGTGATACTTTTACCGCCTGTGCTCCTGGGCCTTTGGGATCGGGGGTGGGCTGGAAAGACACACGAGCACGGTGGTAGGCGATGGGATGCTAAGGGTTCCGCTGCTGAGGAACTCAGAGGGGGCTTCCCTCCCTCGGCTCCCTTTATGCACCGCTTGGGGGAGGTGATGAAGGACAGGCTACTTTTCCCTGTTTGAAGGTGAGGAGACTGAGGCCGAGGGAAGTAGGGCATTGGCAGAATGACAGGGTATGTAGGAGATTCCTGGCTAGAAGCCGGGTCCCCTGCCTCCTCTTCTGCTGTCCCGTGGGTAAGTAGTTGTATCTGTTACAAGCGAGTGCAGGATTCAGACACATCTGACTGTGCAAAGAGAACGCACAAGGGCTTAGAGCCTGCTGGTCTTTCAGAGTGGTTTGCTTGAGGCTGGTTTCCATTTGTCCACGATTACTCGGGCCAGAGCCCGGAAGGAGGTTGGCCGGTTTCAGTGTAGGGTGTCTGTTACCCTGGAAGAAGAGTCAGGAGGCTGCGTGCCCCTCCCCGGCGCCCCACCGCCACCCCTCACCCCGGGTTCGGGTCTGTGTCTTGTGAGGCACTGAGGTTTGCTGTCCACGGGGGAAGTTGGGAGCTGTGCGGGGAGCGGCAGGGCTTCGTGCTCTGTCGGGGCCTCCAGGCCTTCCCTTCCCCTGGGCCCCGGCTGTGGGTGGCTGGGACTGTCTTCCCTGCTGGGCGGCCTCTGCTCCCACACCCAGCCCTCCATCCCCCACCCCGTCAGCGTTATCCTGGGGCTCTGGCCATAGGACCGTGGTGCCATGCGGCCGGGCTCTCGCCCCTCTGGAGTGACCCCACCCTGCCGGCCAAGCCTCTTGGGCCAGAGGCCAGATACCCTTTGACCCTGAGGCCGAGGTCAGTAAGCTCTCCTCTTAGAAAAAGTTGCACTGGGAAGCTTGGCGACCTCGGCTCAGCGGTGGCCCTTTTGTGATTGAGAGTCTTTCTCCACCGCCCTGCCTGGAGAGGCTCACCCGCTGCTCCTGGGTCAGGTAGCGGCCCGCACGGGACTTGACCTCACTGAGCCGCGGTTTCCCTCACCTGAAAATGAGGATAACTTAGCTACCTCAGGATGGTTTCACGGGGAGAGTATTGAGGCGTGGCGTCAGGTACGCGGGGCACAGTCACTCAGGAGGCACTGGGTGGTGTCAGTATTTAAACATCACGTGGGGCATGCCAACCGCGTCAGGCACGGGCGCCCGGAGGCACCTGTTCTGGAGCAGTAAAGCGGGGAGTGTGAGTGGGTAACCCGCTGCCAGGGGCCAGCGATCAGGGTCAAGGCGGCAACTGCTAGGGTTTGCTTTCCTTGCCTGTGCTGCTGGGTCCGGTGCGCATTCTGCCTCAGGGGGTTTCTTCAGCCTCCTCCTTGCCTTCCCGTGTACGACACACAGAGTCCCCGGGGATCCTGGGGGCCACCTCTCCTGTCGCAGGCAGCCAAGATGCTGACGGTGAGCCCGCCAGGCAAGTTTCACATGTGTCTTCGAGTCGAGATTTCAGTGGTTTCCTCGTTTTGTATCCGCTTGTGTTTCGTCGTCCTTGCGGCCGGGAGCAAGTTTGGAGAGCACGACCCTGGCCTTTCTTTTCATACGGTTGATAGACGGCGGGATCACAGGAGAGGTGGCCTTGCGCGGGGTGGCAGGCCAGCTCCCAGGATCCGACCCCCTTCTCCATGGTGCCACGCCTAGCTCGCCACCCCGTCCTGGCCTCGGGGTGACTGTACTTCCAAACCCTCCCTCTGCCTCGGGACCCGACCCTGTTTTGTGGATCGTTCTAGTTGCCTTTCCAGTTCTGTTTTGTGTGGATTTCACCAGACCACGCTGCCCGATGCCGCTTTTCTGGCACCTTCCGGCGCACCTGGTGGTGGTCGACTTGCCTACCCGGTTAGTGTGCCGCTTTCTTCAGTGTGGCTCTTTCTCACCCCGTGTCCTGAGCTTTGCGATGTCAGCTTCCTTATGTCTTGTCTTGCACTTTGTGTCTTTTTTCTCTTGGATGCCATCAGGCAGGGCCATCCTGTGTGCCTTGGGAGTACTCCGCACCTTCTCACGCCTGCTTTGTGTTCCACGACGTGGGCAGAAACTGGCGGGCCACTCCCCACGGCACCCTTTGCACCTCTGTTCCCCGTTCCTCCTCGTTTACTTGCCTTCTTTGTTTTGTTGGGTTTTGGCCGGGGGAGGCGGTGAGGAACATTTACTTGAAGCTTGAAAATTCTTTCAATTTTCTTTTAGTTTCCTTTTTTTTTTTTTAATTTGTTAAACACAAGTTGAGATGTAATGCTTTATTTATTTTTTAATGTTTATTTATTTTTTTATTAAAAAAAATTTTTTTTTAACGTTTATATGTTTTTGAGACAGAGAGAGACAGAGCATGAATGGGGGACGGGCAGAGAGGGAGACACAGAATCGGAAGCAGGCTGCAGGCTCTGAGCCGTCAGCCCAGACCACGAGGCAGACTCGAACTCCGCACAGACAGTGTGACCCTGAGAGACTGAAGTCCGGACATCAGCCGGCTAGGCCACCAAGCCCTAATGTTTATTTATTTTTGAGAGGGAAAGAGACAGAATGCGAGTGGGTTAGGGGCAGAGGAGAGGCACACGAAGTCTAACGTGGCTGTCAGCCCAGAGCCCGACACGGGGTTCGAACTCACGATCTGTGAGATCATGACCTGAGCCAAAGTCAGATGTTCAACCAACTGAGCCACCAAGCCCCAAAGCTAAATAGCTTTTTTTTAAATTTTTTTTTTACTTTAAAAAAGTGTTTTAGAGGTTCAGAACTAGAGCATGAGCAGAGGAGGGGTAGAGGGAGACACACAGAGGCATCGAACAGGCTCCAGTCTGAGGCCATCAGCTCAAGAGCCTGGCCACAGGAGACCTCGAACCGGACTACTTGGATCGTGACCTGAGCTGAAGTCGGACGCTCAACCGACTGAGCCACCCAGGCGCCCCTGTAATGCTTTTTAAAAATGAACAATAGCGTGTGATAAATTCATGCTATTCCATCCTTTCCAAACATCCAAGCACCCTTTTCTCCCTTTATTTTGTTTTAAACTTTCTTACCGTGAAATGTAAAAACATTCGCAAAGTAGAGAGGATAGCATCGCGAATCCCCAGGTACTTATCATGCAGCTTCAACAGTTAAGACCATCCTGCTGTTCTTTCTCAGGTACTGCTGCCTCATACTGTTTCTTTTTTGGCTGGAATATGTTGAAGCAAGTCTTAGCATAGCTTCACCCAAAAATACTTTACAAAAAGCGTATCCATAATGCCATTGTATCCAATAAAAGTAATAGTAAGTCTTGGTTTTTAAGTAATCTCTACACCCAACGTGGGGCTCGAATTCATAACCGAATTCATCAGGAATCGCATGTTCTAGTGACTGAGCCAGCCAGGTGCCCTGGTAATAGAGATTCTTTAAAATCATTTAATACCTGGGTAGGAGATCTGGGGCTGGAAGCCCGGCCTTCTACCTCTTGATAAAGGTGTTTTCACCCCCCTCCATTTCAGGCTTAAGTAGTTGTATCTGTGACAGGTGAGCCCAGGATTAAATGCAATTGACTGTGTAGAGAATTTGTGTTCAGTTTTTCCTGATTGTCTCAGTTGTCTTTTTTTCATCGTGATTAAAAACACCTAGTGTCAAATTGATCATCTCAATGATTTTTAGGTGTGCCATTCAGTAGTGTTAAGCGTATTTCCGTTGTTGAAGACTCCATTCCTTTTTAAGGCTGCATAACATTCCCTTGTAGGTACACACTACATTTTGTTTATCCGTCCACCCATCCGTTCAGTGGACCTCTGGGTCGTTTCCACCTCTCGTCTGTCGTGAGTGGTGCTGCGACGAACACGGATGTGCAGACATCTCTTCGAGGCCCCGCTTTCTGTTCTTTTGGATGCACACCCAGGAGTGGGACTGTCGGATCATACGTTAGTTCTGTTTTTCATTATTTTGCGGAAGCTCACTACTGTTTTCTGTAGCAGTTCCACGATTTTACATTCCCACCACGATGTACGAGGGCTCTGGTTTCTCTACGTCTCTATGTCCCTGCTTGCTCTCTTTTTTTTTTATAATGGAGTGAGGTGATATTGTGGTTTGGATTTGCATTTCTCTGATGATTAGTGATGTTGAGCATCTTTCTCTGTGCATTTTAGCTACTAGTCCATCATCTTTGGAGAAATGTCAATTCAAGCCGTTCGCCTCTTTTTCAAATCAGTTTATTCAATTTTTGTTTTTATTATAGGAGGTCTTTATATATTCTCGATATTGACCCCTTATCAGATAAATGATTTGCAAATATTTTCTCTCATTCCAAAGACTGACTTTTCACTCTATTGGTTGTGCCCCTTGACAGGCAAAAGTTTTTAAGT